ACTATTAACAACTGTAAATAATGTTTCAGTAAACTTTGTGGTGCTTATAACTTCAAGTTGATTTCATGTTCTGTGTGTGTGTGTGTGTGTGTGTGTGTGTGTGTGTGTCTACATTTAAGTCTAAGTCTAGGTAGTTCATTCTTTTTGATCCAGTCATTAATATGATTATTTTCTTAGTTTCTTTTTCACTTCACTCTTTATTTGCATATGAGAATACATGTGCAGATATTTAAATATTAATTTTTGTGTATATGTAACCAGCCATTTTACTCATTTATGGTTTCTGATAGGTTTTTAGTGGTGTCCTTCATGTTTTCTTTATATATTGTAATATCTGGTAATAATGGTTAATCTCTCAACTTGTTTTCCATTGATTCCTTTTTTCTTTTTGTTTAGTGGCTCTGGCAAAAGCCACTAATAGTAAATTAAATTAAAGTAGCCATCTTCTCCTTGTTCCTAATCTTTAAGAAAAAGCTTTGAGTCTTTCCTCATTGAATACAATGTTGACTGGGTTTGTAGTATATGGCCTTACAATGCTGATGTATGTTCCTTTTATACTCATTTTGTTAAGAATTTTTATTATAAAGGGCACAGTGTCTTGTCAGATGCTTTTTACCTGCCTGCTTATGAGTCACAGGGAACGCCAAGTTGAGTGAGTTTGCTGCCCAAAGACTTGAAACAATGACACTGGCTTCCCCCCCCCCCATCACTAATATTCATGGTGTCCACCCATCTAGTACTTTTCTTGTTGATAGATTGTGAATTAAAGCACATCTGGGAAGTAGTCCATTGATAATTGACATTGGTATCACCTCATTGGTGAGTTTTGCCTAAGTTTAAAGCCATGTTGTTGTGATTAGGTATCAGCAAAGAATGGAACTGAAAACTGACCAAGGTAATCTGAAGAAAGTGTTGGTGCATAAACTTTGGGTGCCTGAAATTGATGAGTTTTTCAGAGATGCCTATTACTCCTAAGGATTAGAGTTTAGTTAGTTCAGAAGATTCTGGTCTTAATTCCTATTCATTCACTCATTAGCTTGAACAGGTTATTTAAACTCTCAGCCCATCCCATCTCTGAAGGGGATGTGAAAAGTAATACCTGCTTCCTGTGGCTAAGTCCATTTGAAGTTATAGTAACAGTGCATCCCTGTAAGTATTTAGTGTCTTATTTTCAGGAGGCCCCACAGCATTTTCTTCACTGCATAAAATGCTATTTGAACTTAGTAACAAAAAAGGAAAACAAGCAAAGGAGGAAACTGACACAGTCACCTAATGTGAAAACATCTTACTCCTATATTTTTCTAGAAGCCTCATGGCTATTGGCAAAATACTCTTTATTGATATGGTTTAAGTTCAGACTCTTGCTGAGGAGATTCAGTTCCAGCTCATTTTTTTTTTTTTAAGATTGATTTATTTGTGCATACAGAACTGGGGTACAGGCCAGAGGCTCAGGGGCGGCAAGAGGCTTCACCAGAGACAGA